CAATTTGTATCCCTGGAGGGAACTCCCATTTCAGTGATTGAGTACTGATAAAGTGAAACACATGCAGAAGAGGAGGATCAGGTTGGTGAAGGTATATGAAATTACACAGGGATATATGATGACTATCTGCCAGTACTGGAAGGGGTACCATGTTGAAGGAGTATACTTATTCTGTGTGGCTCTAGAACACAGAACAGGGAGACAGACTTGAGTTCAATAAAAGGAAGGACTTTCTAATAATCAGAATTGCCTAAAAATGTGGTGGCAGATGAATAACCACTTTACAGGTATGTTGTACAGGAGATTTGAAATGTGGACTCAATGATTTCTGAGGCTCTTTTAAGCTCTGGGGTTCTACATATTATCAGTTCAATCACATTTTAACTCCTAACTTAAAAGACAAATAAACAAGTAAATAACAGTCTTCTAAGAGGAAAGTTTTGAATAAAACAGTTTTTCTCACTTATTTTCTTCTTTTCACAACAGGTCTCTGAATCCTTTTCAATGCACACTGACAATGACTAGCTCATCGTAGGGTTTGTTATTCTGACAGGATGAAGAAAAGTGTCAAAAAACAACCATGTAATCCTCAATAGGCCCATACATGTACATGTATGTATATATTATGCTTAGGTAATGGTGTCATTTTTGGACACATTAGGAAAAGTGACAAAACCAAAAATCTCTCACCCTTTAAAGTGTGTCACGTCTATAATGGCTCCTATCAAGATTATGAATCATAGTTTGTATGTCAAACAAGCAGTGATATAACGGAATTCATTTTCTTCTTTCCCTGTGGCTGCCTACTGTGCCACATTTTTTCCCCTAAAGGACACCTTGATTTCTACCACTAAAAGCTTTGTGATTATAGAGAGTTTCCATTGGGAAACTTACCCCCAAACCAGTAGTCTGTTAATATGACTTATGTAATATATTCCCTGGGTCTAGGAGATTCTTCATACAGAGAAAAATTTTAGCCAGGGCCCCATAACCTTTTTTTTTTTTGCTTTTTGGTGAGGCAATTGGGGTTAAGTGACTTGCCCAGGGTCACACAGCTACTAAGTGTCAAGTGTCTGAGGTCGCATTTGAACTCGGGTCCTCCTGACTCCAAGGCCAGAACTCTCTCCACTGTACCACCTAGCTGCCATTTGCCCCATAAACTTTTTACTAATGCTTCTGAGTAATTGAAATAATTGTCTGAGATGCAGAGTAATAAAGCATGGGGATGAGGAGGACTTACTGGTTAATATTAGCAGACTACTCTCTGCCCCCAATCAAACCAATAGCTGAGGTTTTGGGCAAGACTGTCCTTGCAGAGTGAGAGTAAACAATCAATCAATCAATCAATCAAGAAAATTTAAAATAAGGTTCTCCCTCTCAGACCTCACACTCAAGATACTTTATATGGGGGGAAGCGGGTAAGGGTGGCATACAACACTTTCAGAAATAAGCAAATACAGACATACAGAAAATAAATACGCTGTAATAAGAAAAGTGGAGAGCACAACTGCCCTTAGCTCTCCATAACCTACACACCAAGATCCCAACATTATAGTCCTGGATGTAGTTATAGTAGGTGGAGAAATTACACTAAAGAAAATGAAGATAGGACAAGCCACAATCACCTAGTCACCCAGACCAGCTCCATACAGCCAAGTTCCCTGGACCAATCCAAGACCAAAGCTTGACTGAAGGTGGGAGTGGGGGGGCAAGGAGGTTAAAAAGCGTGAGGAAATCATATCAGCAAAAATTATCTTACTGTGAGGAATGACTGAACAAGTTGTGCTATATGAATGGAATGGAATACTATTGTGTTATAAGAAATGATGAGCAAGCAGACTTCAGGAAAACCTGGAAAGACTTGTATGGACTGATGAGAGTGAAGTGAGCAGAACCAGGAAAATGTTGTACATAGTAACAGCTACCTTGTGTGATGACTAACTTTGATAGACTTAGCCCTTCTCATCAATGCAAAGATCTAAGACACCTCCAAAGGTCTCATGATGGACAATGCTATCCACATCCAGAGAAAGAACTATGGAGTCTGAATGCAGATCGAAGCATACTATTTGCTTTCTTTTTTTCTTTTGTTGTTTTGTTTCTTCTTTCTCATGGGTCCTCTCACTGGTTCTAATACTTCTTTACCACATGACTAATGTGAAAATATGTTTAATATGAATGTATATGTAGAGCCTATATCAGAATGCATTCTTTCGTGGGAGGGGGAGTAGAGAAAACAGAAAACTCAAAAGCTTATGGAAGTGAATGTTGAAAACTAAAAATAATTAATTAAATAATTTTTAAGAAGTTATCTTGCTGGTTCACAGTCAAAAGTTGCTTTGCCTAGCAACCACTCTCCCCTCTCTCACTCCCATTCACTTCATTCCTAACCTTCCTTCCAATATTAACAAACTTTTTTTGTATTAGACTTTTTTCCTCTCACATTTCCTTCACCTTTTTTGCAAACATGGATGTTAGCTCCCTAACAACAGCATGCTTCCCTAGCCACCCTCTCCAGTATCGGGTCCACCTTCTCTCACGATTTCACCCTGGCAAAACTCACTGGGAAAGAAGGTGGAGTAGACATATTCAAACCCTCTACCTGCTACCTTCTCCTCCGTACCTTCAACAGCCCCTCTCTCCTTTCCTTATCTTCATTATCCTAACTCTTATCCACTGGCTTCTTTACTGCTACTTATAAATATGTCCGATCCTTAAAAAAACTTCCTTTGACTCTACCATTATTTCAAGTACCACCTTACACTCCTTCTCACTGACAGCTCCTAGAAAAGTTTGCCTCACTTCCCATTCACTTCTCAACCCCTTGTGATTTTCCTATTCTATTGTTATTGTTTAGTTGTATCTGACTCTTTGTGGCCCCAAGGATCATAACAGCACACCAATACTGTCCATGGGGTTTTCTTGGCATGGATACTGGAGTGGTTTGCCATTTCCTTGTCCCGTGGATTAAGGCAAACAGAAGTTAAGTGACCTGCTGATGGTCACATAGCTACTAAGTGTGGGAGGCCAAATCTGAACTCAGGTCTTCCTGATTCCAGGCGCAGCACTCTATCCACTGAACACCTAGCTGCCTCTTTTCTTATTCTACCATTTGACAAAAACCACTCTCCTGAAGCTCTGACAACCATTTAACTGCTAAGCCCTAAAGGCCTTTTCTCAGTTCTCATTCTTGTGGACCTCTCTAAGAAATGTAAAATTGATGAGCACACCCTCCTTCTGGACACTTTCCCTTTCTTCTCATTCTCCTCTCACCTGTCTGACTTTTCCTTAAATCTCCTTTGCTAGATCGTCAAGCAGGTCCTGCCTCTCTGCACAGGTATAGTTTGGATCTTTGTGTTGGCTTTGCTTCTCTTTTCTCTCTGTACTTACTCTTGGTGATCTCAACAGCTCCCATAGGTTCAAATATCATCTTTAGGCAGATGACTCCCAAACCTACATACTTGGCCTTTATCTCTCTCCTGACCTTTAGTTCTGTCTCACCAACGGCTTCTTGGTTGTTTCCACCTGGGTGTTCCACTGACATCTTGAGATCAACATGTCTAAAAGATAGTTATCTTTCCCCTTGTATTCACCCTTCCTCCTAATGTCCTTATTTCATCTTAAGGGTACAACCATCCTTTCAGTTACTTAGTTTTACAATCTAGGAGTCACTGGTGACTCTTAACTCTCCTTTGCCCCCCTGACTCCAACTCCTCAATATTTCTTGTATTTGTCCCCTTCTCTCTACTCATACCACAAATAACCTAGTCCAGGCCCTCATCACCTTTTGTCTAGACAACTGCAACAGTCTCTCACTGGTGTCCCCCCCTCCAGTCTCTCCTGCCCTTTCCCCACCCTGCCTCCCACTCAAGGAAAAAACAGCAAGAAGAAAATCAAAACTCTTACACTAAATATACACAGTTAAGCCAAATGTCTAACTAATATTTCCAGACTGTTTCTACATTGTGAGTGCTATGTTCCAGCAATACTGGCCTGTTTGTGGTTGACTGTGGACAACATCCTGTCTTCTGCCTTTGGAAGGCTGCCTGCCAAGCCAGGACTGCCCTCCCCCTCTTTCCCTCACTCCCTCTCTGCTTTTTGGAATTTAGCTCTCTTTAAGACTCACTTCAAGGGAGCTCAAGTTCTTAAGCAGGCCCTTCCTATCTCTCTCACCCCTCTGAAATTTCTCAGTGGCTGTATTTACTTCTCTGTGGACATGTGGTTTCCTCCTGAGCAGAAGCTAAGATCCCAAGAGAGATTTTTGTTTTTCTGTCTCTAGCATGGTCCCTGGACTATATGAAGTACATAATAAATGCTTACTGAATTAGAGAAAGCAGTTTCTTTTTGCAGCAATTTTTACAGTCTAGTCTAAAAGTAACCAAGCATGTTGGCAATGACAGGATAGGACAGAGGTGTCAAATTTACTGTTTGCAGCCCTCAAAATTCCTGAGAATGGCCCAAACCAGATTAAAATGTAATTGAGAAATGTTTAGCAAAACAAACAAAAATATAATACAACAAAGATAGTGTTAATTTGTGGCTTTCTAAGTCAATGTGCCTTCATCTAAGTTGGACATCAATGTCACGGGGTGTTTTAGGTTCTAGTCAAGATGTCAAAATATGCTCAAGGTGTCACACTGTTGCTTCAAAGGCTAGGTTCCTCAATTAATGTCTGGATGGGGGATGTAATGGACACAGAAATGTAGGTAAAAGTTCCTTGAACTTACTCTACACAGTGACTATCAAACACCATACAGGGAAGGAAGTATCAAAGTATTCATTGTGATAATGGTCTACGATAGTTGTAGACTATTTTTTTCAGTTAAACACAATTCAAAATTTATCAAGCTTTTCTCAAACTTGCCAGCACATAACAGGAGTCAAACTGCAATGCTAGGGGCTGCTGGTTAAAAAAAAAATTTGATCAAGATCCGCACATTTTACTTTCAGGTGCTGAAAATCACTTTCTCTCTGTAAGGGCGCACTTAGTCTAAGATTACCTGCTCCTCAGAAACCTCAAGAGGAGGTGCTGCTACTTCTTGTTCAGGCCGTCGAACATCTCGAGCATTTGCATTCCGTCTCTGACGTACATGAGGAAAAAATCGATTCCAGTTAATCCTCCCACCCTAAAAAGAGATCATACATATACTGTTATAACACAAAAATGAACAAGGCCATCTTATGACTGTCTCCATCATAAACCCAAACAAAATAGCAAATTATGAAATATACAGCATCATGTTTACCTTCATGCAAGGAATAAAAATTCTAGAGTAATATGGCCTATTTTTCAATCAGTATGACATGCTAATAAAGAATAATATCACTCAATAGGTAATTTAAAATGAGTTATCTAATACGGTTTTGGAATTCAGTTACAGACATAAATTCACACATTTATGTTTTCAGCTCCTCAATCTGTTGACTCTGTTCCCTGCTCAGTCTTATTGTTAGCAGTCTAGGCTTTAGACATTATCAGGAAAATGGAAGAAAAAAAGTAAAGGAGGCCTGGGTTGCTATGAAAAAGACACAGGTATGGAAAATCAGGAGTCACTGTAATTTTCTTTAGCAGTTTTTGAAAATTTATACTATTACTGTTTCCATTTTCTACTTGGAAACTAAATTCTAATCTCTATATGATTCCAATTTTAGTACGTGTGCAGCTGAAGCAAATAGTCACCATAATAAGTAGGCCAAAAGAGCTTATAAACTGCATCAGAGAATACATACTTAGTCTCGCCAAAAAATGGAAATGAGAGCCAATATTGTTTCAGAGTACAAACTCATTTCAAAACATCATGGAATAGACTGATGATGGATTATAAGCAGTACTGCTTTGCAAGACAATGAAAAGTAGTTAAGGTGACAGTGAGCTTGTAAAGAGCCTGACTTGAGACCATACAGTAAGCCAGATCATCTTTAGAACATCTATCAGTGAAACTGAAAGGATAACAAATACATGGAGAATAGAACAGATTTGTGAGCATTTTTATAATGATCTAGTCTGGTCAGTAATGACAGTGAAACCAGCACTTTTGTATTCGACCACATCTCAGTTTTCAAGCACTATGATTACAGTATCCAAGTTGTATAAAAAGTGACAATGGCAGCTGGGATGAACAGATGGACTTTATCAAATATACATAGAACAAATCTGTGTTGGAGGTGACATAATTTTAAAGTCATTTGTGAACAGATTTATAATGAATGAAGTATTTATTAAGCTCCTACTATGTACCAGATACTGTGCTAAAAGAAATAATCTCTACTGACATTGAACTTACATTCTAATGGAGGAGATAACAAGTAAATATATACAGCACACGTGTAACATTAATACATAAAAAAAAATATACAAGGTAGTTAAGAGGATTAGGAAAGGCTTCATGCAGAAGATGGTAGCAGGGCTGCATCTTAAAGGAAGAGAAGGACTGTGAGGTGGAGGCAGAAGGAGTGTGCATGAGAAGCATGGGGGAGGGCCAGGACAAAGGTAGAGATGGGGTCTGAAGCAACGTGTGGGAAGAATACAGAGAGGAACAATTTGGCTGGACTGGATTGTGTAGCATGAGACAGGGGAATAATGACCAATGAGGCTGGAAATATAGGTTGGGGCTAGGTTGTGAAGGTCTTTAAAATCTAAACAGAGCTGTTGATATTTTATCCCAGAGGGCAGTTGGAAGCCATTGGAGTTGTCCAAGTAGGAGAATCACATGGTCAGATTTAAGGGTAAGGAAATTATTTTGGCAGCGGTGTGTAGGATGGAATGGAGTGGGAAGACACTTCGGGCAGGAGGACGTTAGGAGGTGATGAGGGCCTGAACTAAGGTGGTAGCTATGTGAGTGAAGAAAAGGAGTCAGAGATGAGAGATGTTGTGAGGGAAGAAATGGCAAGATGTGGCAACTGATCAGATATGTAGTGTGATGAAAAGTGAGGATAATCCAGGATAATACCGAGATTACATTATACTATAAGGACGGTAATACAAATATACTATACTATACTTATACTATAAGGATGGTGACAAAAAAATATAGGGACATTTGGAAGAAGGGAGCATGTAGGAGGAAAGATAAGTTTAGTTTTAGATATGCTGAGATCTTAAAAAGAGGAAGATTCTAAAAGAGTGGAACAGATCACGGATGGTACCATTATTATTACTGTCATTTTTTTTTTTGAAGATCAAGAAGGCATCAGCAAGTCATTACTATAAAATCCTTTTGAGGATTATTTATGTATATGTACTGATGATATCACTGATGAAAAGATGAGAAGGGTAGAGGTAGAATTTAGGAGACAATTTTCTGCAACAAACTACAGCCTTAGCATCACATGCCTGAGAGGTATAGAGAACATAAGAGCTATGTCAAGTGTTTGCTTATTACAAATACACTTCTGACTTAGAAGAACAAAACATAGCCCTAAAGGCTTTCCTCAAACAAGACGTTTCCTTTGCACATGGTACTCAAGAGTGATGATAGATTTATCCAGGGGCTAACTTTTTCCAATTATTTGCTGTGTATCCACATCAAAGAGTGTAAGGAAACATAAGCTCACAAATGAATTTGTGAGTGCCATGGGGTTTCAGGACATTGAGATATTATGAGGTTGAGGGAAGACAGATACAGATACTCTTTTGTGAAGGAAGACTCTGTCCTCACACGTCATCATTGGGGTGGCTGGAAAGAAGGGGCAAGAATTACAACTGTGTGATAAAATATATAGGGGCCATAGGAAATAGGATTGAGGAGTGCTGTATGCAGGCTAGCAGTGGCTGAGAGCTAACCTTGGGCGCAGTGAATGCTAGATTGTGGAAGGAAAGGCAGTGGTTGTGGTGAATGTGTGTACTGGGCATGTATCTTGGCTTAAGAACAGAGAAGGAGGCTATGACAGCGAGTTTGTAGGCTGGGAGCCCACAGTTCCTGATATGCATTTTGGTTTAACAGCAGAGAGTGAGAAAGGGTTGGTGTGGAGGTAGCAGTTGCAGTGAATATGTGTTTTAGATAGGTTTTGCAGCACACATGCCGCAGAGTATGTTTGGCCACGCATTGTACATTTTAGAAGTGTGTTTCAGTGTGACAGCTGAACATGGGTATGGGTGGAGACTTAGAACCTATGGGTATGGTCATTTTGATGTGTGGGTGTGTACATGACTATTTGTGGGTCAGGGCTTGTGGTCTGGTTGCTGGTTCCCCTATCGATATCCCAGTGCAGAGCAGTCATTGTTGATAAAAACTGTAAGATTAGATTTTTTCCAGTACATCTGAATCTACAGCCTAACTGAGCCAATGTTATATTGTGGCAGATTATTAACTAAACCTCAAGTTGACCAAGGCACAACTCCTGCCCAACCCTACAATGACCATATTTATAAGCTCCCAGACTCCCTGCCTGCTCCCGTATACTCATACTCTACTCTTAAAATAGAATGCACACCAAAACAATTGTTATGGATGCCTAGCCTCTGAACTCATAAACTACCTGATCTCATGCCAAAACATACTCAGTACAACCATGAACTTTTTAAATGTTCTAATACTGCCCTCAGGTTGGCTTCCAACACAGCCTATACTATACCAACTCTCTGCCTATGTCTTGATATTGCTTTTCGAAATGCAACCAATCCCTCACATTTCTTGGCATTTTTTGAAAAGCATAAAGTAGGGAAGGAATATCCACTTGTATGTCTTCCTTTCTCAGCCCTGCAGAATCTACCAATATTGAAGATATATTGGGCTGACTGCTTGTAGAAAAGAAATTCTATAGATGTACTTGTTTGTGGGTGATATTCTACTGATTTCATTAAGCACTGGAATATTTCAGTGCCTCTTCAAAGAGATATAGTGAAGTGGAACCTTCAACTTAGAGTCTGAGGATCTGGGTTTGAAGTGGTGCTCTGCTCTGCTGATACGACCTGTGAGACTCTGGGCAAATCATTTAATCTGTCTTAGTTTTATCTATAAAATGAAGGGATTGGATTACATGATTTTTAAGAACTTTTCTGGATCTAAATCTATATTCTTATGATACTCAAAGAAGATTGACGTAATAATCCACACTGGAAAAACAAAGTGGATAAAGGATACATTGCAAAGATTGAGCCTGAAGATATAATTCAGCTGAGTTAGTTCATCAGTACAGATTTTTTTCTTTTTATATTTCTTTTTCTTTCAATTGAGAAAAACAAAATCCCAGTTACAATCTTGCAAAGTCAAGCAAAACACATTTCCATAACTGACCATGTCCAAAAATATATGCATCATTCTGCATTCTGAGTCCTTAACCTTTCTATCAGGAGGTAGGTGGCATATATCACCATTAGTCTTCTGCAGTTGTGGTTGGTCATTATGCTGACCCTCACACTTTCAAAATTGTTGGTCTTAACAATATTACTGTCCATGTATAAATTGTTTTTCTGATTCTCTTTACCTAAGTGCATTGATTCACATAAATCTTTCCAGGTTTCTATGAAACTATCCCTTTCATCATTTCTTACTTCACAACAATATTCCATCCCAAAACTTGTTTAGTCATTCCCCAGCATGACACCCTCCCCCTTCCCACCCAGATTCCCATTCTTGTCTCCTTAAAAAGATCTATAAATATTTTTGTATATCCTTAAGAGTCTGTTTTGTTTAGGACTAATGCTACCTTAACGTACTCTCTCTCTAATTTCCCCTTCTCTTCCTATTTCCTTGTTGAGTGAAATGTGTCTTTATACCTAACTCGTGTGTGTGTGTGTGTGTGTGTGTGTGTGTGTTTGTTTGTGTGTGTGTTTACCTGGAAGCTCTGAATTTTGGCTATATTTCTGAGAATTTTCATTTTTGGAGGTGTCCAGTAGATGATATCTATTTCCATTTTGTCCTCTGGTTCTAAGAGATTTGGGCAGTTTTAAGATTTTTTTTTCTTGTAAATATGATGTCTATCAAGGTTCTTTTTTTGTTAATGGTGTTGAGTTGGTCTAATTATTCCTAGATCAGTTGTTTTTGTCATGAGATACTTTATAGTTTCTTCTACTTTTATAGTCCTTTGACTCTGTTTTAATATTTCTTGTTTCATTGGCTTCTTACTTGGTCCATTTTAATTTTCAGGGAATTTGTAGCCTGTGCAAGGTTTTGTCCCCTTTGTG